AGCAGGATCCTGGTTCATTAGGTACAGACATTCAAAAAGCTCACGGCAGAATCGATCTAAGTTACATGGTTTTCTATAGTCAGTGTAGGTTACAATGGTAGGAAGCAGAACACACATCCGCTCTTTGTGGCGGGGGGACAGATCTTAAGCCGGGTTCTGCCATTTTAAAACTATTTTTAAATTTTCTGCTTACTTGTGCCTAACTTCTGTTATGGGTATAGAGCAGTTTCTGATCACTTAAACCAGTAAAAATGTAATGTTCATACCTGGCCCTGATGTGTTACAGATCTGAACTGGTTTCTGGTCACTTATACTGGTTTATGTGTAATTTCTGTCCCTTGCCCATGAGTTCAGTGCACATAAACCTCTTTCAAAATGGCTGAAACTGGTTTAAGATGAACATGGATGGATGTAGTATCAGATTTAACTGATTTAGGTTAAATTGGTTTATTGAACTTCTGCCCCAGATCCCCTCCAGACTGAAGTTAACTCACAGTCCCCCGGCATCCCAGGATGCTTTGCACCACCCCCACAAACCCCACCCCTCATAGGGTGGGCAGGCTCGCCTCAGCCCAAGTTGTCTGCTCCAGCTAAGCAGGGAGGCATGCTCTAGCACTCAGATTCAGCTTGGACCACTTCAGGCATGTGGCTGCATTTTTTTAATGAAAAGTGAATGCCTGTTCACTTGCTTATAGGTTCAATCTATGCAGTTTAGACTAACCTGCAAAGATTGAATCGATTCATCCTTGGGTTTTTTAACTCTCTGTACTTAGCCAGGAAGTTTAAGCCAGTCTTAAGTGGCATGTACATCTATAATAATAGGATTTAAAGTATATTTAGAATTTTTAAAGCATTGTCTGTCCACACCCTCTGTCTACCTTTGCCACCTTTGGTGATGCTCCTTATTATCTAATTTCTTCTGCTTGGCAGAGGGAGAACCACTATTTGACAACATCCTATCCAGAGGTCCCCTCTACTGTTATTAGACGAGGTATTCTTGCAGTGAGGTGTGCTTTTCAAAGTCACATGGGAGTGATGTACACTGCCTCTTCCTCTTACCAGACAGTATATAACAAGTTGTAATTGTGGGCATTCAGGCCTGTCAGAATAGCCCTGATCCAGCTAAGCACTTGAATTCCTGCCTTTCTAGAGAAGATCCCATTGAACTTCAATAGCACTGTTCACACTCTCCAGATTAAGCACATGAATAAGAGTTTTGCTAACTGGGTGCTCCAGTATGGACACAAAGTTGGAAGATGCCAACCCAGCCTACTTTAAAGATGAAAAACTCTGCAGCTTGGAATTGTGATAAAGTGACAGTGATTCTTACGATTCAGCCCTGGTCACTTGTGTTCATCCTCCATGGACCTGAGCAGCACTCTTGTTCCCATTTCTACCACAACCATACAGCAACATGTGAGGCAGTAAAATACTGTGGTGCAAGAAGAGTTGTTACGACCCTTGTTCTCAAGGCTCTAAAGACTCTGCCTACTAATAGCTATGAATTCAGGAAGTACATTACCGTAAGTAATACTTTGTGGTCTGCAGACCTCTTGCTTCTCCTGGAGATTTGAATTGTTTTCTTCTTTGGGCTGAGTCTTGGGTTCAGTAGAATGAATTGTGATAAAGTGACAGTGATTCTTACGATTCAGCCCTGGTCACTTGTGTTCATCCTCCATGGACCTGAGCAGCACTCTTGTTCCCATTTCTACCACAACCATACAGCAACATGTGAGGCAGTAAAATACTGTGGTGCAAGAAGAGTTGTTACGACCCTTGTTCTCAAGGCTCTAAAGACTCTGCCTACTAATAGCTATGAATTCAGGAAGTACATTACCGTAAGTAATACTTTGTGGTCTGCAGACCTCTTGCTTCTCCTGGAGATTTGAATTGTTTTCTTCTTTGGGCTGAGTCTTGGGTTCAGTAGAATTACCTGCCTGGGAACCTGTGTACAAAGAAAAATTTCAAACCAACTCATAACTGGATTCGAAGCAAAGCATTCTTTAGTCTGTTGGTTGCTGACAATCTACCTCTTCACAATCTGTTGAAGACAGCTAAAACATGCTTCATGCACAATAGCAGTGTTGTAATGCAGACATGAATGGGAAGTGGCTATGGCAGGGGTGGGCAAAATATAATCTGTGAGCCTGATCTGACCTAACGATTGATTGCACCCAGTCCACAGCTGCCCCTGTAGTGCTCCACATGGGTACGAGCCATGTTCTTTCCTGCCTGGAGCAGACCAGGCCATGCTCCAGCTCTCACCTGCCCCATGCCAGCTGACAATAGCACCCCCGTGCTGGCCATGGCCCTGGCCCAGGCCCCAGCCAGCATGCACCGCTTCTTGGCAAGGTAGCTTCTGCTGCCGCTGCAGCTCCCCAGGTACTGGTCAGCTTCCCCCACATCCACCAGCTCAGGATCATGGTGGTAGCCATTGGGGTGTGTGCCGAGTACTGCATACAGAGCAGATCAGGGAAGCTGCAGTGACGTGGCTCCTGCCCCAGCGCATGGGGCTCCAGCTCCTGGGTGCCTTCCACTCACTTTGCTCACCCGGTTGTCACAACTCAAGGGTGTGATTTTGTTTGTGTGTGCTTTGGCACTGCTAAATTATTTCCCGCCACTCGGAGCTTTCTTTGCAGGGTGCAGTTCTC